AATATACTTATGTATTTTATTATATACAGCTTAATCTGTTTTTTTTTTTTTTATTAAAAAATATTTTAGCATTTCTCTTTTTTAAAATAAATTCAAATTTGTCTTTATATATGAAAACACAAGATATTTATATAAATGTAATTTGTTTTGAATTTTTACATTTATTCTTCCTTTGTTAAATGAATTTTAAAAAATTCACTTTATGTATGAAAATGACATTTTTGATAACAGTAAAGGCCTAAAACATGTTTTAAATATTTAATATTTATATATTATAAATAATATAAATAATATTTAATATATTATATTTATTAATAAATGTTTAAAAGAAAAATAAAGTGTATAATTTCTTCTTTAACTTATTTATAAAAAAAAAAAAAAAGAAGTACTTTTTTTTACATTTTTATTTCCACCTATCCTTCTATATTCATAGCAGTTTCCGAACAGTGTCATGTTGACCATCAGAGTGATTGTTAGGCTGGTCTACAGAAGCAGAACTGGTTAAACGCAACACAACTCGATGGAAAGACTCAGACGCTCTCGTACCTGTGCAGGACCTGCCGGCTCAGGCTCTTGGTCTGCTGCTGAACCTCCAGCTGATTCTCCTCCAAACTAAACCCCTTCCTGCTCCCCAGCTTGCTTTTCATCCTCCCCTTCTTCACCTTCGCGGGGATCGTCCCGGCATCCGCCGCATAGCTGTGAACACAGCACAAAACCACCGTCAGCCTCATGACTACGCTGCTCGCACCTCTCCACTCCAACCTTAAACACCGCCTGACTTCACGAGCCCATGCGAACGCTTGCAAAAGACAGAGATGGGAAATACAGGGCATTTACCAGGAGTAATGATATCAAATCATGCAAACAGCTCAGCTTTACGAGTTCTCTCAGCCGCTGATACGAGAGTAATGGTTAAACCGAGTCAAACGTGCCAGGAAAGCAAATATATGATAAAACAGACCAACAGCACTTCACTCCGACCTCTATAACACAACCACAGCAGTAAAAACTCAAGAGTAAACACTACGGACTGAAAAACAACCTTCAAAGGAAACCCCGCACCAATTTTCGCTTGGAAATTGCTAGTAAAATTCAACAGGTAATAAATACATTGAATGCAGCCCATTGAATGTAAACCTACTCTACCAGTAGAAATACTCCAATACTCTTGCTTAAAAATGAATGAAGTCCTATTCGTTCACACCTGTAGAGATTATTTCCATGCCTGCGAGATAATCGTAAACTCAACGATCTGTTCATCCTCAAAAAAATTAAAAAGAGTGTACAAAACTGGCCTCAAGCCATAACGCTGGAGTCTGATGCTCGGCCAAAAGCAATAAATAAAGTCTAGAGGCTCAGCGAGTCTAAAAAACACAGGTCTGGTCTTCCTCTGTATGCAAATGAGAGGGGCGGAGCTAGAACTCAGCTATGGTCTGCAGTTTCTCCAATGGGAGCTGCTCCCTTCCCACTGTATGCAAATGAGTGGGCGGAGCTGAAGACAGAGTTCTGGTCTGTGGTCATGTTCCAATGGCCGCTGCCTCTTTTTCCTGTATGCAAATGCGAGTGGGCGGAGCCTCTGACCTCAGATGGTGTGACTGTGGCTTGCTGATGTAATGCAACACCTGCACGCAGAGGCAGCAGCCGCAGGTGAAAACATGCTGAGAAACACAGCAGCGGCGCTTGACAAGAAGCGAATGCGTTTACAGTCAACAAGTCATGATTTATAGAAGCGAAAGTCGAATCGCTGTAATTCTTCGCCTGAAAGGAACTCAAAGTAACCGCTTCCTCGTTAAGCACTGAGGCTTTTGTTGTTGTTGAAACGCTACATATGCTAAGCACAGCTGCTGGAAACCTTTCCCAGCATTCAGAGCCATTCAATTTATGACTGAAGGACAAACGTGTGACTTGCAGAATTATATATAGGTTAAAAGACAGCATATGACATGTAATAAAAACACTTGCAGTCCTATGACTAGGTATCACACTCTAACAAGCATGAATTCAATTCAAATTACTATAAATATATATAGATATATTTTATATATAATATTTAATTTGCTTTAAAGAAAAAGTATCATTTATTAATATATGTATAATATATTATAATACTTGTTGAAAAACATATATTTTCACTTATCTTTCTTTAAATAAATTTTTTTCTTTACATATGAAAATAGCAGATATATGTATATCTTACATATATTTAATTGGTTTTAAAGAAAATACATTTGATCATTTATTCATCTTTTTTAAATGAATTAGATTTTTTTCTTTCTATATGAAAATGCCACATTTTTTATATTTGAAATGGCCTATAATATTTTAAATATTGCAAAGAAATATATAATTTACAATGTATTTTTCTTTTAAAAATTATTTACATTTTTTAATATTAATTTAATTAAAAAAAGCTTTTTTCTTTATGAAAACAATCTTAATATAAAAGGCTAAATAAATAAATAACATTTCTTTAAACACATTAACTTTTTTTTATAAAGAAAACTACGTTTTATAAATTGTTTTTTTTTCGTCATACATAAACTTGCCACATATTAAATAAATAAAAGACCTATTAACATATTAAACCTATTACCCATATTAAAAAAATGTAATAAACACACAGAGCAGGCATGCATCCACCTACGATGGGCGTAACGATTACGAATCACTCTCAAACGCCACGGAAACATTCCTGAGCTCATCTGCGAGTGAAGCTTTTACAGCCAAAAGAGAACAAAAGAAAACCATTACGACACAAGGAAGCTGGCAGCCACTGAAATAACGTCTAGAATTTTACAGAGAATTCAGCCAGCTTTTGTTTGAGTGTTTCATCTTGAAACCTTTAGATATGAAAGCAAATCAATGGCACGCAAACACATTCAAAAGCAGAGCCGCACCTGCAAGAGGCTAATTTGGTGTCACCGATGAAATAAACACTGACTAAAGCGTTGCCAAAAAAGCAGGAATACCAAGAAATAATTCTTAATCTCAGTTGCATATAATAAGATTTGTAGAGGGTTTTTTCTGACCTAAATAACCACACTATAAATGCAAAATCTATACGAGGAAGTAAACGTAATTTAAAACTTCACATGGAACCACTGGGACACAACACAATTAAATATATAATTGAAAGAATAAAATGGGAATTATTAATTTTTCATTTTCAATGCTGATACTGATTACAGTAACAGAAAATAATTAAATAATTAAATTACAATAAAATTAATAAAAACTAATAAAAATATATTTAATAAAATTATACTAATAACTATTATTAGTAGTATTAGTATTCAGTAATATATTATTTTATAAATTATTTTGCATACAGAAAAATTAAAGAATGTAATAATGAAATATAAACTTTTAATTTTATCAATCTCAATGGTTATTCTGATCATATATGATACCAAAAAATGAACGTGATTCTGGTAATATAGTAACTTTTTACTGTATTACCTAAAATATTCACACAAAATGGTTTAAGCATAAACTAAAGCAACTAATTTACTGCATCACTTCATTTTCTTCACGCACTGCTTTCGCTTTTGCAATCAGCGTAAAACAAGCCACACAAGCTCTCTGCAGAGTACGATGTATTGAAGACATTAAAGCACACTTCATACTGCAGATCTATTTTTAAAAGCCCTCAGATCACACCCTTTAACCGGCTTCAGTAAACCCCCAACCACAGCATTCTCTCGTGTCTGAGGTCGAGTATTCAGGCGAAACAGAGGCATTTTGGGAATCTGCTGCCCCGCTGTGGGAGTTTATAAGAATGCAAGCCAGCAAAGTCATATTTGTAAATGAAAGTGTTTGCATTAAATAAACCAAACACTCTGTTCAAACAGTTTGATTCAATGCCATTAGGATTTCAACTGTGTCATTCCGGTTTCGTGGCATTAGAACAATAATAAAGGACCCAGAGATCCTGTTTAACCGTCTTATATCTCATGCACAATGAACCTCGCGACTTCTATTTGGCTTAAAGATGCGCAGTGATTTAAAGAGAAGACGAGCATCAAACATCCCCTGCTGACTCGTCTGATGCTGAAGATAAAGCCAGATGAGATAAGCAACAAACGGTGGCATAAACACACCAAACAAGGAAATGTGTTGGAGTTCAAGGCCCATTCTCAGCGATAAACGTTTATCGTGCTCGCCTTTGTGCTGACAACGAAAGTGCAGTCTTTGCAAATGAGTCAAAATGTTGGAGAACATTTGGTTTTGGTGATTTAATTGGCATGAACAAAGACAGAACTAGTCAACGTTTTGGTCTTTAAAGCTGTTGGAATTCAATCCGCTAGCTATGAAACCAAATCCCCAGCAAGCTAGCGGCTCAACAACGTACTCGCAGCTGCTCACCATCACATATCAGAGCTAGCTAAAGCAGTTCTAAATGTCTTCTACCTTCCCAAATCCTCACGTGCGGCCGTATCCAAGCGGTTTGGGTCCTTCTCGCCATCCATTGCAGCGTCCTCCCAGCGCTAGCGACTACTGAACTGCTTTTGACCAGCTGAACTAGATGCTGAGCAATGGGGTCTAAAGGTTTCCTTTACAGCTGCTCTATTACACAAGCGCAGGCCGTCAGAAAAAAAGTGAGATAGTGAGGCACAGGGAAGCCAAAGTGGGAGTCGAGGGAGGGATAAAGGATCCCACAATGGCCCATTTGAATGCCATTGAAGGAATGCAAACAACAGAAGACAAGACTGAAGACATGCAAACAAAGGCCTCGCTAGTGGCCACCTATTGTCTTTGTGATGGGGTAGAAGGTCAACAAACCCATGGGAAATCTAGAGAAAGACCTCCACAAGACCAGGAGTTTTTTTGCAAGGATCTGATTTGGCCAATACTGGAAGCAAATAAATACTTCAAGTATACTGGAAGGTTTCTGTGTGAACCTGAAGTTGCTTTCCAACAACTAAATTCAGATTTTTGAGAGTGACAAAAATGTGACCCTGGACCACAAAACCAGTCATAAGGGTCAATTTTCCGAAATTGAGATTCATACATCAGCTGAAAGCTGAATAAATAAGCTTTCCATTGATGTATGGTTTGTTAGGATAGAACAATATTTGGTTGAGATACAGCTATTTGAAAATCTGGAATCTGAGGGTGCAAAAAAATCTAAATATTGAGAAAATCATCTTTAAAGTTGTTCTTAGCAATGAATATTACTAATCAAAAATTACGTTTTGATATATTTATGGTAGGAAATTTACAAAATATCTTCATGGAACATGATCTTTACTTAATATCCTAATGATTTTTGGCATAAAAGAAAAATCTATAATTTTGACCCATACAAGGTTTTTTTTGGCTATTGCTACAAATATACCCCAGCGACTTAAGACTGCTTTTGTGCTCCAGGGTCACATATGGCTACTTTATAATTTTTTATAAAGGCAAAAAAAATATTTAAAAATCCATGCAAAATGATACATGGAAAAACTGAGCAAAACCCAGTTTATGTGAAAAAATACACAAATTTGATTTTGAACATAACATAAAAAATTAATCAACCAAGATTTTAATCAAGAGTTTAATCAAACAAGAGTTACATTTTTCTCAAGACAGCTAAAAAATAAATGAAAACCAGTGTTATTTTAGTATCATTGAGTTATTAATATTTTGAATTACTTTTTATTTCCCTATTTTAATTTTAGTTAATGATACTTTATTTTTTTGTATTTTGTGTCTATATGGATGTATTAATTTTACTGTTAGTTTCAGTTATTTTAGGAAATCAAGTTAAACTAAATGAAAATGATAAATGTTGTAAATTACTTTTTTATTACCACTGAACCTTTTCTCCATCTGACCCCTGACCTCCTTGTGCCATTATAAATAAAGATGATTCATCCCTGGCCTAATGCACATACACAAGCATTCAAGGCTGATGTTTGCCAATGGAAACGCATCAGCTCATATACGTCCACACCTGCACGGTGAATCACCGAAGATAGCTTAAAGATCCTTGTCAAGGCCTGAAAACAAGTAGTTCTTGAATCTTAAGTGCTGCACTTATTTTTAATCAGTATTTCTCAGGGCATTCTGTACTTCTGTTTATAAGCAAGACACCATGTTCTAACAGAGAAGATTAAGTGAGTGTTTGCCCAGTTTCATGGCGCACACTAGCATAACGTGATATGGAGAATATCAGGTCAGTTTTCATTGCATAAGCATAAGATTTTCACGCTCTGTAAAACACAGGGGTACTAGATCACCATTGGTTAACGGATGGGAGGAACTGTCGACTGAATGCAATTCAAGATCGCTGCCAAGAAGCCGACATGTATATCAGAGATCGACGGGTTGAATTGTGTCAACGCTGCACACCAGGAAACCATAGATCATTTTCAAGAAAGCCTCCATTAGAATTCACTAGTTGAGCAAGTCGTGTGTTACCCAGCTTGCAAAATGAATAGACTTGAGCAGAAGCAGTGAGAACATGGTCAAACCACAAGTAGAGAATAGAAGGTCCTTCATCAAAGTGTGATAAATGAGCCGAGTGGGTGTTTGCTGAAAAAACAGTGATGTGTTAAACCACACGAAAACTTGAGCTTGAGCCAACACCATTTAACCAACAACAAACCACACTAAGTAGTCCTATACCTCTAAAAATAAATAATAAATACAATCTAAACATAGAAACTACATCAAATCCAAAGTTCATATCCATCTTTCAAAATACACCAAATCTTGGTCTCAAAACTTGAGATGAATTGCAAAAGAAACTCAAAAGAACCAAAAGCGAGACTCTTAAAAATTGGTGTAACCATGAAACCTGAGCTAACATTTCAAAGAGAGGTGTAGAATAAGGTTTAGGCCTTGA